ACACGCACACACACACACACTCACACACACACACACACACACACACACACACACACACACAGACAGACGTTTGCCAAAACCACATTAATAACTGCACTTGTAAATATCAGATTTGCACAGAAATAAATCAACAGATGCCAATCTACATTACAAATCCCTTGTGATCCATTCATTTATCTTCATTATCCACTGGAGAAACTGGACGGGTTTGTTACATATTTCAGAGTATGTGTGTCAGGTAAAAACACAAGTTTTTCATTCATTCCAAGAATATACCAGCATTCTGGAGCTGACCGTACTGTAAGTCAATATCATTTAAGCTCTCTGTAGTATTTTATGCTGTCAGAGGCTTTTGAGTGCATCTTAATATTTTAAATGTGTTTCTGTTTTAGTCAGTGTGTGGCATTGTGAGTATCAATACACAACTCAAAACCTCATAGCTGAACCCACACCTGCAAAATAGGAGGATTATGGCAATCTTATGACAGTCTGTGCCATAGATCAGTGGTTCTTAACTGGTGGGGTGAGAACTTTTCTTTCAGTGTCACATAAAAAAATGCAATAAAATATTTAAAAAAAATGCAATAAATACAATAAAATATTTTGTTTCATTAAAATAGTTAAAAAAAATATATATATAAATTAAATTACAATATATAATATAAAAATATTACTTTAATAAATCACAATGTTATTTTGAAATTGGTCGCATTGCAGACCACCCTTGTTTGAAAAATGGCCATGCAAATGACTTTATATTTAATTATTCTAAGCATTTTTCTTATTACAAATGTCTTGATGGCTTAGTTTTCCTTCACTTTCAAGCTTTTTAGGATTTGAAAATTACTGGCTTTGAAAGTAACATTCATAGTGTAGCTGCTTGCTTTTGAATGATAGCTTTAAATAAAAACGCAGTATGCATACTCAGCCTCTTTGTGGCCCATATCACTATGGCAACTGTGAAGAAACCCTTGAGAGATCAGATCAGACCATCACATATCTCTTGAGAGACAAGCTCATTTATGTCAATTGTGCTTTGAGTTCCCCGGAAATCCCTCTCGAGGAGAGTGTACAGATCAATTCTGACACCAAAAAGCTTGTGTTCTTTATATTTTTGAAAGCTCTTGCCCTACTCGATTGCCTAAGCAAGCTCATGATATTGTGTACTAAACACCAAGACATATTCAAGCAGGTTTTAATACCAAACAGTAATTTCCGAGTTCATTTCTGTTGAGAGTGAACAACATGCCGATATTATTCAAAGACCTGACACCCGCTTTCTCTGACTAATGATGCTTCATTGATGATTTGTAATTAGTATCAGTTTGCATTTTATTGTATAGCCAACACTTCGGGTAAGGAGAGGGTGAGGAATGTCACTGAGATGGACAATGGTATGAATGCATTGTCTTTGATGACGATTAGATGCAATGCTGGGAGTGAGCATTAATAAACATGGGATCAAGTGAATCTCGTGTCAGTTCAAACCATGAACATACACACACACACACACACTTCTAACACTCAGATATACACACACACACACACACACACACATTCCCACACAAATGAAGGTAGCAGGTTAATGGCATAAGTAAGGGACTCAGGAAAGCTTACTTGGTGGTAATGGTTCATCAACACTTGGGTGATGATGGGGATCAGGCCGGAAAGCAGGAAGCTGAGTGATTGCATGATGACGGCATTGCATATGACAACTGCCTACAAACAAAATCAAATACAGGCCCATGACTTATGACAATCTACATATGCCATAAATCAGTGGTTCTCAACTGGTGGGCTGAGAATTCTCCTGCCAGTGTCACACACACACAAATCTAAAAACTGCAATAAATATAATAACTAAATCAAATATTTTTTATTGTCTATATATATATATTTTTTTTTATATACAATTTTGGGACTCTATTGTGTTTAAAATCTAGGTTCTGAAGCAAAACAAGTTGAGAACCACCAGCATGAATAATATATAGGCTGAATTCAGGACCAAAATTGTCAAAATGTTACACAAATTACCTGAATTCGCCCTATATATGTAATATCTCATAAACAAATTCATTGAGATATCATGGACCAGGTAGCCTTTCTGGTGACTGTCTATTAAATGTGGGCAGTGAAGGTGAAAGACTAATTAGAGAGTCATTATCGGTTCTCAACAGGTAGAGATCATGTTCAACAGTAACTGGCAGCCAAACTCATCACAGGGCAAACTAGAAAGCAACACTGCAGCAATTATACGTGGTGTGGCTTTCGTTTAATGATGATGTTATGTGACAAATTCTGCCTGTGCTTTAATGAAGTATAAAAACAACCCATTACAACGACTTAACCATAGAAAGCTAGCTGAAAAAGTGTTATGAGAGTGTTTCAATAATTGCTATGTCCAGTACCATACTACTAGTTACATTTCTGTAGTATGCAGTGTGTATAACCAGTCAATATGCACATAGATGACCAACTGCATACAGTTACATTTTCAACATCGCTTTCTGTCAATTTATAAGACATTTAACACAATACTGGATTAAACATACAAAAATAGCAATTTAATTTCTTTGGTAACTATAATTACAATTATAATAAAGAATAATATGTGAATTATGCATGCCATGCAATGAGGACATGTGACAAAAATCTAGCATACTAGTGATGTTAGCGTTTAACTGTTTATCTTTTCATACAGTATACGGTTTCACAAAACTAGTAGGGGCAGTATACAGTGTATACTGTGCAGTATGCAGTATGTCAGCATTCCATTCTAAACACAACTTAAGTGCTCATTAAGCTGGATGCTAACATGATAATACAACGGAACTTCCGAAACCAATTGCTCATTGGGATTAGTGGGATACTAACAAGACATAGTTGGAAGCTATTTCTTCAAGTAACCATGCCATGTAACGAGGAATTGTGACAACCATCTAGCATACTACATTATATTGTGCAGTACGCACTACGCAGTAAGCCATAGGTCTTTAACCCTGCTCCTGGAGACCCACTATCCTGCTAAGTTTTTGGTGCGTTTCATTTGTACTCAGAAGTTGGAAATTCCGAGTTCCCAGTAGGAACTTTTAACTGGAACACCCCTAAAGTCGGAGTTCTGACTCGGAAACTCAGAGGAAACGCAACAACCTTGACTTCAGAATCCAAAATAGCAGCTCGGCCGAATTGTTCAACAATATGAACCGATGAGCAAGCTTCTCTGCAAACTGCGCATTCATCATTAGTTACAGGACTGACCCATTGATAAGTTTCCCGTTCAGCCCTAAATCTGGAGAGCATTCTGAACATAACTCAAGCTAACATGAAAGTAACTAAACTTATGAACTCAACTGCTCACTGGGATTAGCGCAGGAGTGTCCAGTCCTGCTCCTGGAGGGCCACTGTCCTACAGAGTTTAGCTTCAACCCCAATTAAACACACCTGAACAAGCTAATCAAGGTCTTACTAAGCATACTAGAAACTTCCAGGCAGGTGTGTTGAGGCGATTTGGAGCTAAACTCTGCAGGACTGTGGCTCTCCAGGACCGACATTGGCCACCCTTGGGCTGCGTTCACACTGCGACTCTTACGGTGCGTTTCCACTGGCACATAGTGAGCACAGCAGAGTGAGCTTTTTCAATTCATTCCTATGGAAGTTGAGCTTAAACGCTCGCGCGGTGTATTATGGGATTGCGGCGCGGAGAAAGCGTTGACAGCGGCTGAGAGCGTCAAAAAGATTGGGCATTCCTCGACTTTATGCAAATGTACAGCGATAAACGCCAGGCGACAACCAATCAGTGTGAAAGGAAGAAGATGAAAAGTAAACAGGGTGTTTTTCAGAGGCGTGCTCTGCCCTAAATTTGACACGCCCCAAAGCAGTGGCGTTGTATCATTGCCAGCGGCACTGAGCGCAGATTTGACGCTGTAGTGGAAACGCACCGTGCTCAATTCCAACTTTTGCTCAGATCCAATTTTTTTGTATAGCTGTTCACATTGTTGTTTAAAATGTAGCCAATATCAGATTTACAGTTTGAACATGTCATGTTTCTGAACTGACCCGCATGCGCAAAACAGGTTTTTACAGGTTTTCACAGGTTTTCACAACAAAATCTGCCCAATTGCTTCTCAAAACTAGTCCAAAACTAGCCCAATCATGTTCTGAGGGGTAAATATTGCTCTAATGGGGTCGCGTCAACCCACGAATTTGAAAAACAACCCACTGCAACAGTGGCTAAAAGTAGCCCAATTCCGCAGGGAAACAGTGGATTTGGCAACACTTGTGCAGCGCGCCGTCATATGGAAGTAAACACGGAGGACATAAAGTAAGCGATTATGAGTTTTTAAACTTTTATGATACAAGCCCTCATGTTTTGCTTGTATATACAGTTGTCACTGTAATCCTTATGAGTTCTGACACATCACACTTCCACTGATTACCTTTCGCAACTGTCTTGATAACTTTGGGTATGTAAAATCTTTGAAGTGTCCTAATGATAACAAATGTTGACCTAGAGCAGGGGTGTCAAACTCAGTTTCTGGAGGACCACAGCCCTGCAGAGTTTAGCTCCAACCCTAATTAAACACACCTGATCCATCTAATCAGGTCCTTCAGGCTTATTTGAAAACTAGATGGTTTGCGTGTTGGAGCAGGGTTGGAACTAAACTCTGCAGGGCTGCGGCCCTCCAGAAACTGAGTTTGACACTCAGAATGTTAAATGCCCCAGTATGCCACTGTAAAAAGTTTGACAACCACTGGACTAAAGGGATGCTAACATGAGATAAAATTAATCAAATCATTTCATTGACAATGAAACATCAACAATCCCTGTGCATTTGAGCAACTGCTCCAAGCAACACGTTTTAGCAAACATCCAAGACTTTTCCGCAATGCGTAATTTGGACAAAGCTCCTCACCTGTTGACCTTACACTAGGCCCAGGTACTGGTGAGATCTCCACCTCCCCTTCTCTCTGGGGACTTTCTTCCGATGACGACTCCCTCCAATGAAGCAACCCGTCTCCTGGCTCCCTTATATCTGGACTCTGCACTGAGTCCGAGACGGATTCAAAAGCACTGTTCTCCTCCTCCTCTTCCTCCTGCGAGGAGAAAACGGTGCTCTCCGACAGACGGGTGCTGTCAACTGAAGAGAGGCGCATGTGGCTGCAAAGATGGTTACGCCCCTCATAACCTGAGTTACTGTAACAGGAAGTGCTGTAACAGGACGTGCTGTAACAGGAAGTGCTGTAGCAGGAGTTATCACACAGTTCGCACTCACTCTCTCGAGGTTCCCTTCTGCTTCCGCCTCCACCACCCACTTCCATGTGTTCGCTTTCCAGTCGGAGGGTGGAAGGTGAGGGTCTTTCACCTTCCAAAAGTTGGTTGATTTCAGACAGGCGCTCGATGGAGAGGCTACGTGGTAGGGTACGCCTGCAACAAGGCCTAGGACACTCGGGCACAATGGATGGAGACTGGGCTTCTGAGACCTCGTCTTCTTCCTCTTTGTCCTCTTGGGGTTTCAGAGTGACTTCCTCAGAAGATTCCCGATCAAGTACCTCGTCTTCATCTTGGCTGTCATTGTGGCACTGAGCTGATGGCAAGCTGTGCAGCAGATGATGAATGCGGATGTAGTGAGAACGTGGTGTCTCTGGTTCATCACAGGCCGAGGCGATGACCGTCTCTAACTCGGACACCGAAAGCGAACAGGGTCGGCTCTTGCGCTTCAAGGCACTCCGCATCCTTGGCGAACAGGGTTCTTCCTCATTCCCATCTCCTTCCAACTGCTCTGAGCTTGTGCATCTCTCAACCTCTGCATGCTCTCCAGTAGGTCCCATTCCAGTTGGTCCACCCGTGTCTTCAGCTTCATGGTTCTCCAGAACCTCCAAAAGAGTCTCAGTCACAGTATCCTCCTGCATCTCCTCGGACTCTGTTTTTCCAGGGTCTTGCTCCGCAGTTTCTCCTTGAGTGGCATCGCTCAATAGTGTCTCTGCTCGAGCTGTTAAAAGCTCATCAGCTGATCCTTCTGCTTCTGGTTGGGTATCCTTACTGGGCTCATCTAGAGAGGTGAGCAGCACAGCATCTTGGGTCTCTACCTCTGGAGGACTTTCGTTAGGCGGCTCCAGAATGTCAGGTCCCAAACTCAATGCATCCTCCAGAGGCAGATCAGAAGCTGGTGGTAGGTCCTCATTGGGCTCCTGCTCAGGTGTCGTATCAAAGATCGACATTGCATTGAGGGACACCTCCTCATCATCTACCAGAGAGAATAAGCAAATCTGTCAATATGGTTAAACAGATCAGCTATGAAATAACACAAGATACCTTTAGCAATAATCAGTCTAGAAATCCCAAACCAATCTCACAGGAAAATGCAACTATTTCTTAAGAGGTGTATGAATTTGTACAAAAACATACAATATTTAGAAAAAGTAGTAAGCATGAAGGTCCACCCCTACAAACACATATTAATGCCTTATTCTGCATGACCATTTTCTACCTCAGCCCATACCTAAACATAACTACTACAAACAATTACCTTACTATCAATAAGCAGCAAATTAGGAGTTTATTTAGGGAAAACTCTTAGTGAATATGTGTCCCCTAATCTAAAGTGTTACTGAAAATTCATATGAACTCGCAACCAATTCAGCAAAACGCAATATACTTAAATGGCCAGAAGATTGTTTTGGAAACTCCCTGTTTTAAGGAAATTGCTCTGTCACCTGTCATCATTTATTCACATCGGTCCAAACCGACACATTCTAAAGGACACATTCTAAAGAATATTCACACCACTCTTTCATTGGTGTTAACTGTTGGTATTCAGTTTTTTTTCTCTCTTTGTATTGCATGATTTTCATTCTATTTCATTAAGTTTGTTACCTCAAGGGAATCAAATGGTTCATAACATATGGACTGGAAATACAGTATGTTACTAATATTTAGCTTCATTCCTGACCTTCCCAAATGGCTAATCATTTATTAGATTTATAAAAATAAAAAAAAATGAATTCATAGTAAAATAAATAAATAAATAGAAGATTGTCTTTAGCTTTATTGTACTCATTGGCTTATCAGAATATAAATTATTTTTTTGATGAAAATATTTTTTAAAAACCTTTTTAAAGTAAAATAATTGTAAAATGTTAATTAAATTCATAATTTAAAAATAATTCAAATATAATTTTTTTATTTAAAATTTTAATCAAAATTTAAATTGACTTTATTATACCCTTTGGCGTATCAGAAATAAAAAAGGGGATTTTTTTCAAATACTTGTAAAAATATATTAAATTCCTCATTTAAAAAATAATACTAAAAATACAATTAAAATACGTTCAGCTATTGTTATTGGCTTTATTGTACCACATGGCTTATCAGAATATAAAAAATTATTTATTCTGATGAAATTCATTAACAATTTGTATTTTTTAAACTTAAAAAAAGTAAAATACTTGTAAAAATGAGTTCAATTCATAGTAAAAAAAAACAACTGATTTAGCTATTGTTATTGGCTTTATTGTAGCCCTTGGCTTATCAGAATATAAGCGTGTGTGCGTGTGATAGAATGCTCTTTGTGTTCTGAGACGCTAAGGTGTTGCTATGCAGTTGCTAGGGTACCCAGGGTGGTTGCTAAGGTGTTGCTATGTGGTTGCTATGGTACCCGGGGTGGTTGCTAGGGTGTTGCTATGCGGTTGCTAGGGTACCTGGGGCGGTTGCTTAGGTGTTGCTATGCGGTTGGTAAGGTACCCGGGGTGGTTGCTAGGGTGTTGCTATGTGGTTGCTATGGTACCCAGGGTGGTTGCTAGGGTGTTGCTATGCGATTGTTAGGGTACCCGGGGCGGTTGCTTAGGTGTTGCTATGCGGTTGGTAAGGTACCCGGGGTGGTTGCTAGGGTGTTGCTATGCATTTGCTTGGGTACCCGGGGTGGTTGCTAAGGTGTTGCTATGTGGTTGCTAGGGTACCCGGGGCGGTTGCTATGCAGCTGCAGCGGTGACGGAGTCTATGAAAGCACACGACTGGCTTGTTTTGTTCCTTGTGGCAGTTAAACATAGAATCACGATTCTTTTTCAAGGAGGCACCTAGGACTTTTTAGGACGGCTTTTCAATCAGCGCCCCACAAGCCCAAACTCAGCGGCTTCTGCCATCACAATGACATTAAGCCAAAGCCCCTCCTTGCTCCCATAACCAAATCCAGTGTGTCCTCAAACGTTCTCTGGAAAGACACGGCTCAGAAACACATTACGCTAGTTACAGACAGACCACAACTGAGCAGAAGACAACAAACACAAGCAGAGGAGAACTGCTGTCCAAATGCATTTCATTTAGATGTTCAGGGGTTGCATGTTTATGTGCCAAAGGCTGGTGCAGCATTAATGTAGCAGCAATAATTCATACAATTAAGAGAAAATAGTTGCAAACAGGTGCATGCTTCAGAGGGAGGATACTTTGAGATGTATTCTTCAGAGATACATTTAATGCTGTAAAGGTACAGATTTACAGCTGCTTACAGCACTAACAAAAAGTACCAAAAATAGCATGGTATTACTATGTTTTTTGGCCACAGTACTATAGTAATATAGGATGACAAGACCCTTTAAACACTCAAACTGGAACATGCAGAATCAAACTTGATTTTAATCGAATGCAAATAACAAAACAAACACACACACACACACACACACATACACACACACACACACACACACACA